ACCATCCTACCTTGGTTGCTTTAAAAAAATGCAACACCTTGTGTTTATCTAAATTGAACTCCATCTGCCATTCCTCAGCCCACTAGCCCAGTTGATCAAGATCAAAATCTCACTGCATTCCCAGATAACCTTCTTTGTTGTCCACTATACCACCAATCTTGGTGTCATCTGTAAACCTGTTGAGCATACCTCTTAGATTCTCATGTAAATCATTGACATAAATGACGAAAAACAGTGGACACAACACCGATCTCTGTGGCTCACCGCTGGTCACAGGCCTCCAGTCTGAATAACAACCCTCCACCATCATCCTCTGTCTTCTACTGTCAAGCCAGTTTTGTATCCAATTGGCTAGCTCTCCCTGGATTCTCTGGAACTTACCCTTACTTAATAACCTACCATGTGGTGTCATGTCAAAGGCCTTGCTAAAGTTCATGTAAACAATGCCTACCGCAATGCCTTCATCTGCTTTCTTGGTTGCTGCTTCAAAAAGCTCAATCAAATTAGGATTATTTACATTAGAAAAGACGGAGGTTGAGGGGGGACCTGATTGAGGTCTACAGAATCATGACAGGTATAGACAGGGTGGATAGCAAGAAGCTTTTTCCCAGAGTGGGGGACTCAATTACTAGGGGTCACGATTTCAAGGTGAGAGGGGAAAAGTTTAAGGGAGATATGTGTGGAAAGTTCTTTACGCAGAGGGTGGTGGGTGCCTGGAACGCGTTGCCAGCAGAGGTGGTAGAGGCAGGCAGGATAGCATCATTTAAGATGTATCTAGACAGATACATGAATGGGCAGGGAGCAGAGGGATACAGATCCTTGGAAAATAGGCGACAGGTTTAGATAGAGGATATGGATCGGCACAGGCTTGGAGGGCCGAAGGGCCTGTTCCTGTGCTGTAATTTTCTTTGTTCTTTGTTCTTTGTTCAAATTCATGAGACATGATTTCTCAAGCACAAAGCCACGCTGGCTATCTCAAATGCATCCTTGCCTCTCCAAATGCTTGTAGATACTGTCTCTCAGAATCCCCTCTAACAACTTACTCACCACAGATCAGGCTCACTGATCAGTAATCCCCACTGATCAGTAATCCCTGCAGCCTTTCTTAAATAATGGTACAATATTAGCCACCCTCCAATCTTTGGGAATTTCACCTGTGGCTATCGATGATACAAGTATCTCTGCTAGGGGCCCCTGAATTTCCTCCCTCGCCTCCCACAAAATCCTTTCTTTCTTTATTCATTCACGGGATGAGGGTGTCGCTGGCCAGGCAGCATTTATTGCCCATCCCTAATTACCCGGAGGGAAGTTAAGAGTCAGCCACATTGCTGTGGGTCTGGAGTCACATGTAGGCCAGACCAGGTAAGGATGACGGTTTCCTTCCTTAAAGGATATGAATGAACCAAATAGGTTTTCCCTGACAATTGACAATGGATTCATGGTCATTATTAGACTCTTAATTCCAGATGTTTATTGAACTCAAATTCCATCATCTGCTATGATAGGATTTGAAACTGGGTCCCCAGAACATTATCTGGGTCTCTGGGTTAACAGTCCAGCAATAATACCACTAGGCCATTGCCTCCCCCTCCTGGGATACACTTCATCAGGTCCCAGGGATTTATCTATTTTAATGCATTTTCAGACTTCTAGCACCTGCTGTTCTGTAATGTGGATACTCTTCAAGACATCATTATTTATTTTCCCAAGTTCCCTAGCATCCATACTTTTCTCAACAGTAAATACTCATGCGAAATATTCATTTAGTATCTCACCCATCTCTTGTGGCTCTGCATGTAGATCTTTAAGAGGCCCTATTCTCTCCCTAGTTAATTGTTTGCCCTCCATGTGCTTGTGGAATCTTTTGGATTGTCCTTTACCTTGCCGATGCTATCTCTTATCCCCTTTTAGCCCTTCTGTTTTCTCTCTCAAATGTACCCTGACACCCTCTATACTCCTCACGGGATTCGAGCTGGACTAGAGCCCTAATTAACTCACTTTCAAAAGCCTCCCACTTACCAGGCGTCCCTTTGCCTGCAAATAGCCTCCCCAAATCAACTTTTGAAAGTTCCTGTCTAAGACCAACAAAATTGGCCTCGCCTCAATTTAGAAATTTAATTTGTAGACCAGACCAATGCTTTTCCAAAGCTGTTTTAGAACTAATGAAATTATGGTTACTGGTCCCAAAGTGCTCCCCCACTAACACTTCCTTCACTTGCCCCACCTTATTTCCAAAGAGCAGGTCAGGTTTTGCCTCTGCTGTAGTAGGGCCATCTACATATTGCATGAGAAATTCTCCCTGAACACACTTAACAAATTTCTCTTCATCCAAGCCCTTAACATTAAGGCAGTCCCAGTCGCTGTTCTATACCTTGTCAAAAATGTGCATAATTCAGAACACCTCAATGAGGTCACCTCTCTTCTCCTAGGAGAATAAGGCCAGTCTCTCTAATCTTTCCTTGTATCTAAAATCCCTCATTCCTGGTATCTTTCCAATAAATCTCCTTTGAACTCTGTCCGAGGCTTTAAGATCCTTCTTTAAATAAGGTGCCTAGAACTGAACACAACACTCCAAATGTGGTCTAACCAATGATTTGTAGAGGTCTAACATCATTTCCTTGCTTTTATACTCTATGCCACTATTTATAAACGTAAGGATCCTACAGGCCTTCTTAAAAACTCTTTCAACTTGCCTGGCCACCTTCAGAGATTCATGTACGTGAGCTCTGAGGTCTCTCTGCTTTTGTACTCCCCTCAAAGTTGTACCATTGAGCTTGTGATAACAAGGTGTAGAGCTGGATGAACACAGCAGGCCAAACAGCATCAGGGGAGCAGGAAAGCTGACGTTTCAGGCCTAGACCCTTCTTCAGAAAAAATGAGCTTGTATTGTCTTTCCATGATTCTTCTACTAAAATGCATTTCCTCACATTTCTCTGCATTGAAATTCATCTACCAGGTGTCTGTCCATTTGGCCGACCTGTCATTGCCCCTCTGAAGTCACTCTGCATCAGCGTCATAATTCACTATTATCCCTAGCTTAGTATCATCTGTAAATTTTGAGATCTTGCTATCACCATCCATCTCCAAATTGTTTATATATCTATCAAAAAAAAACAAGAGTCCCAACACTGATCCCTGGGGAATACCACTTTCAATACGTCTCCAATCTGAGAAATGCCCAGTTATACTTGCCCTCCTTTTCCTATCTTTTAACTAACTTTGAATCCATGCTGCCAAGGACCCATTAATCTCAAACATTTCTAGGATAGAATAGAATCTCCTTTTATTGTCACGTGTTCTCAAGTATAGACATACAAGAGTAAAGTGAAAAGTTTATAATGTTGCATCTTATGGTGCCATCTTAGGCACAAAGTACCTTGGTACAAAAGAGGAATGAATAAGAAAAGAAGTTGCATTACCTTACAGTGATTCATAGTATAAGTCAGAAATAAGACATAGTTAAAAGGATAGACATTACAGTAGGATTAACATTACATTGAAGTAGCTCAGTGCAGGGGCTTTCACACATGGTCTGACTGGCCTCGCAAACAGCTGATCACCTGTGTCAGACCCCAGTCCAACATCCATCCCCGCTCCACTACAACCCGCTCCGCTCTGGTTCTCACCTTTGGTTTGTTCTGCACTGGCTCTCAGCCAGTCCGCACTGCTCCAGACCTCCCATGCACTTCGCTTCAGCTCTCAGCCACTTTGCACCGCTGTAGATCTTCAGCTCACTCCGTGCTGGTTCTCAACCACTCCATGCCACACCAGGTCTCCAACCTGCTACGACTCTCAGTCCGTTCCAAGCGTCCAGTCTGCTGCGCTCTGGCTCTCAGCAGCTCCAAGGTAAGTTTTCTTATCAGAGAAAGAAAGCCCTTTAAAATCTTAGAAGAAAAAGACAGGAAGAAAAGTGGGGGGGCGGGAGAGCAAAGAAAGAAAAGGATGGATTGATGAGCCCTGGGCTGAGGAGCCTGAACACCTACTCCGCCACCACCATCTTGAACTAATTTGCTCACCAACCTGCCATGGCACCGTATCAAATACTTTCAGAAAGTCCAATGTACAACATCCACAGCACTACCCTCATCCACCACCTGTGTCAGCTTGTCAAAAGAACTCAATTAAATTTGACTGACGGGTCTGTAGTTTCCAGGGTTATCCTTTGCCTCTTTCTTAAACAACGGTGTCTCATTTACAATTCTCCTGTCTCCCGGGACTAATGCTATGTTGAGAGCAGTCTGGAAAATTTCTGTCAACACCTCCTTGATTTTCTCTCTTACCTCTTTCATAATCTGGGATGCATTTCATCCAGACCTTCTCTACCTGGAGTACTGCCAGCCTTTTTAGCACCTCTTCTTTATCTATCACTATACTGCTCAGTTGCTCAACACTCGTGTTTTCAACTAGGCATTGTCACCATCTTCCATTTTGCTAAAGACAGAAGCAAAATATTCATTTAGTACCTCTGACATACCTTTGCTTCAGTGACATCGCAGCAGAACTGATATGGAACTGTTCTGATGGAGAATCATACTGGATTTGAAACATTAACTCTGTTCCTGAATCATAGAATCCCTACAGTGTGGAAGCAGGCCATTCGGCCCATCGACTCCACACTGACCCTCTGAAGAACATCCCATCCAGACTGACCCCCTCACCCTATGCCTGTAACCCTGCATTTCCCATGGCTAACGCACCTAGCCTGCACATCTCTGAACACTATGGGCAAATTAGCATGGCCAGTTCACCTAGCCAGCACATCTTTGGACTTATCTCTCTATAGATTTGCTGACTTTCACCAGCACTTACCGTTTTTATTTATCATTAAAATTATTTGTTATTTTAGAAGCTGAAATCTGTAAAATGCAGACAGTACTGATTGAAATAATTGTCTGTGAAAAGATTTGATTGATGCAATTTGTCTTGTGTTTACTTTCCTCACAGCCAGAGCCAGCTGTGCATTTTCACCTCAAACTGACTGAGAGATGCTTTTTTTCCAGGTTAAGCGGGATGTACTGTCAGAGACAAAATACCTTGAGGTGGTGCTTGTGGCAGACAAAGATCTGGTGAGTTTTTCAAAAAATGTATTCATGAAATGTGGGTGTCAATGGCTGGGCCAGCATTTATTTCCCATCCCTAATTGCCCTTGAGAAGATGGTGTTGAGTTGCCTTCTAGAACCACTGCAGTCAATGTGCTGTAGATTGAACAACAGCGCCCTTAGGGAGGGAATTCCAAGATTTTGACTCAACAACAGTGAAGGCAATATATTTCCATGTCAGGATGATGAGTGGCTTGAAGGGGAACTTGAAGATCGTGCTGTCCTACTAGATAGAAGTGGTTGTGGGTTTGGAAGGTGCTGTCTGAGGATCTTTGGTGAATTTCTGCAGTGAATCTTGTAGATAGTACACACTGCTGCTACTGAGTGTTGGTGGTGGAGGGAGTGAATGCTTGTGGAGGTGGTGCCAATCAAGCGGCTGCTTTGTCCTGGATGGTGTCAAGCTTCTTGAGTGTTGTTAGGGCTGCACTCATCCAGGCAAGTGGGGAGTATTCCATCACACTCCTGACTTGTGCCTTGTAGATGGTGGGCAGGCTTTGGGTAGTCAGGAGGTGAGTTCATTGTCTCAGAATTCCTTGCCCCTGGCCTGCTCTTGTAGCCACTATTTTATGTGGCCATTCCAGTTGAGTTTCTGGTCAGTGGTAACCCCCACGATGTTGATAGTGAGGGGTTCAGTAATGGTAACACCATTGAATATCAAGAGGCGGTGGCTAGATTGTCTCCTATTGGTAATGGTCATTGTCTGGCATTTGTGTGGCACGAATGTTACTTGCCACTTGTATTCCGAAACTTGGATATTATCTAGATCTTGTTGCATTTGAACACGGACTGCTTCAGTATCTGAGGAGCCACGAATGGTGCTGAACATTGTGCAATCATCAGCGAACATCCCCAATTCTGACCTTATGATGGAGGGAAGGTCACTGATGAAGCAGCTGAAGATGGTTGGGTCAAGGACACTACCCTGAGGAACTCGTGCAGAGATGTCCTCGAGCTGAGATGGCTGACCTCCAAGAATAACAACCAACTTCTGATGTGTCAGGTATGACTCCAACGAGTCTCCTGATCTCCATTGATTCCAGATTTGCTAGGGCTCCTTGATGCCACACTCGGTCGAATGTAGCCTTGATATCAAGGGCTGTCACCCTCACCTCACCTCTGGAATTCAGCTCTTCTGCCCATGTTTGAACCAAGGCTGTAATGAGGTCAGGAGCTGAGTGGCCGTGGCAGAACCCAAACTGGGCGTCACTGAGCAGGTTATTGCTGAGCAGGTGCTGCTTGATAGCGCTGTTAGTGACATCTTCCATCACTTTACTGATGATCAAGAGGAGACTGATGGGGTGGGAATTGGCTGGGTTGTATTTGTCCTGTTTTTTGTGTACCGGACATACTTGGGCAATTTTCCACATTGTCGGGTAGATACCAGTGTTGTAACTGTACTGGAACAGCTTGGCTCAGGGAGCGGCAAGTTCTGGAGCACAAGGCTTCAGTACTATTGCCGGGATGTTGTCAGGGCCCATAGCCTTTGCAGTATCCAGTGTCTCCAACTGTTTCTTGATATCACGTGGAGTTACATGGAGGGATTTCCTTCTAAGTGTTGAGATTTGAAGAATGAGAGGTGGTCTTATTGAAAGAGACAAGATTCTCAGGAGGCTTGACAGGGTAGGTTGGAGAGGCTGTTTCCCCTTATGGGACAGTTTAGGACAAGAGGGCATAATCTTAAATTAAGGGGTCGCCCATGGAAGACAGAGATAAGGAGCAGGAATTTCTGCTCTGCTCTCCAAAGGAACTCTTTACCGTAGAGGGCTTTTGTAGTTGAGATCAAGTGTGGGATAATGAAATTTGTGATAGACCTCTTTTGGTCACTGAATGTTCAACAAGTATTTGCTTTCTTTTCAGCTCACGAAACGTGGGAGTAGAGAAGCTACAGTGAGCCTATTGCTTTCTGTTGCCAATACATTGGACTTGGTGAGTGTGGAGAGATTTTTGATCAACCTGTTTTTACATGTGATAACACACCTCTGGAGTGGGAGGGGCCTGCGACCAGTCCTCCTGGTTGAGTGGTAGGGACAATGTGACTGTGCCTTAGGAGCCCTCCTGAGTATGGAGACTGTGTTCACACTGATGAGAGGTTCTTCTTTCTTTTCCATTTCTCTGTTTCAGTCTCCCTCTGCTCCCAGCTGGCTCAAGATCAAACTGACAGGAAATCCAGTCCTGTGGAAACTCACGTTTCAAATCTCTGACATTAGATTAACACATTCCCTGATTTTCAGCTCATCCCTGTGGTTTTCACCCTCTCTGTGACAGTGATCTTATACACTGACAGTGTCCACATTCTGAATCTGGATAACTCTCTCAGGTCAAATTACAGGGACATTATTCAGATATTTCCACACTGTACTTTCTGCTTTCAACTAGATCCACTGTGCTGCTCTGCCTTTGCACCAGCTTTTAGAACCCTCCAAACACTCAAATTTTCTCATCTTTCCTTTCTGTATCTATCTCTGTCTGCCACTTAGCTCTGTCTCACTCTCCTCATTTTCTCCCCCCTCTCTCTCTGTCTCTCCTTCTCTCTCTCCACCTCTCCCTCTCCCTCTGTCCCTCTCAGATTGCATTCTGTTTCCGCGGCCTCTGTTTCTCTCTCTGTGTCTCTCTCTCTCACTCACTCTCTCTCCGTCTTTCTCTATCTCCTCCTTTCTCACTCTTAGACTGCATTGTGTTGCTCTCTCTCTCTTTCTGTTTCTCAGACTGCACTCTGTCCCTCTCTCTCCCCACTTCTCTCTCTCTCTCAGACTGCGCTCTCTTCCCCCTCTCTCTCTCAGACTGCACTCTGTCCCTCTCTCCCCACTTGTCTCTCTCTCTCAGACTGTGCTGTCTTCCCTCTCTCTCTCAGACTGCACTCTGTCCCTCTCTCGCCCCACTTCTCTCTCCCTCTCTCAGACTGCATTCTCTTCCCCCTCTCTCTCAGACTGCACTCTGTCCCTCTGTCTCAGAACTGGTAACTCTCAATCTGGAATGGGGCTGCACCCTTCCTGACAGTTGCCCAGACGTGGCCTGCTTTTTGGCAAGGTCCTGAAGGTTCTGGAACACAAATTGGCGCAGGCGGGAACTTCCTCTTAGGAGTCATAGAATCACAGAGGTCTACAGCATAGAAGCAGGCCCTTTGCCGCCTAGTTTTCACAATTTAATCTAGTCCCATTTGTCTGCATTTGATCCATATACCTCCATATTTATCTCATCCGTGCAACTGTCTAAATATTCCTTAAATGACAAAATTATACTTGCTTCCACCACTACCTCTGGCAGTCTGTCCATCCTCTGTGTGAAAAAATTGCCCCTCTGGAACCTTTTGTATCTCTCCCCTCTCACATAAAAAATACGATCTTGAGTTTTAGAATCACCTACCATGGAGAAATGCTGTCAGCTATCTACCTTATCTATGCCTGTCTTGATTTCATAGACTTGTATAAGGTCACCTGTATACAGTACTGCAAATGTGGCCTGACCAACATCTTGTACAGTTCCAACTCCCACACTCAGTTATCTGACCGATGAAAGCTACCATGCTGAAAGCCTTCTTCACCATCCTGTCTATCTGTGATTCCATTTTCAAGGAGGTATGAACCTGTACCCCTAGATCTCTTTGTTCTATAGCACTCCTCAGGGCCCTACCATTGACTGTGTAAGTCCTGCCCTGGTTTGCCTTACCAAAATACCACACTTTGCATTTACCCAAATTAAACTCCATCTGCCATTGCTCAGCCCACTGGCCCAGTTGATCAAGATCTTGCTGCATTCCCAGATAATCTTCTTCACTGTTGACATCTTGGAGTCATTTGCAAACTTCCTAACTATGCCTCCTGTATTCCCATCCAAATCATTGATGTAAATCGCACATAGTAGTGAACCCAGCACTGATCCCTGTGGCACACTGCGGGTCACAGGCCTCCAGTATAATAACAACCTTCTACCATCACCCTCTGTCTTCTACCATCAAGCCAATTTTGCATATGATTGGCTAGCTCTCCCTGGATCCCATGAGATTTAACCTTACTCAAAAACCTACCATGTGGTACCTTGTCAAAGGTCTTGTTAAACTCCACGTAGATAACGTCTACCGCTCTGCCATCATCTACTTGCCCCAGAATATGGGCTATGAGAGAGAAGTTGGTGGCACCTTTCCTGGTGGTGTGGTGAAGGTGATTGACCTTCTCCCTGCAGTTTTGTCCATTCCTCCGGTTTGGTCTCACTCAGGTCGCAGCCTCAGACTCTACTAGATCTGGCAAGAGACTCTCATGTTTGACTTTCTGTATCTCTAATACTGTAGCCTCATCATACACAATCACTCTCACAATTGCCTACAACATCTTCCTTCACTCACAGCCACCCACTGTATCCTGCTGATATCACTAACCCTCTGCACCACATACTCACTTGCTCAGGACAGCCCTCCAGCTGTATCCGCAGCAACAGCTGGGTCACTGACTTCGATCACACTTAATGCTTGCCTCTCTCTTATTCCAGAAGGCAAACATCCCACAGTAGGCCAGAAAGAATCAAACCGGTTGGTATGTTTCCCTAATTTCAGCTCCTCACCCCGAATGTGGATATATCATCACGCTGACTGTCCTGAGTAGGCCCTGTACTAATTCAGATGCTGCCCTTCACTTACAATGCTGGAAGCCCCTGAGCAAAGGCCCTGGTGGCCTAGCAGTCTCCTGGTGTGGCGTTCTTACAGCGATATGTGGTGGTCTCTCGGCCTGGCGTAGCCTCAGCATGGTCTCCCGGTCTCGAGGGGATTTCAGAGCGATCCCCCCGCCTCATGAACCTCGAGGTGAAGCCCGGCGCTGTCTGGAATAAGTCCAGGTGCAGACTGGAAGTGAGGTGCCAGCTAATTCAATTACAAGGGGGCACAGGTTTGAAGTGAGAGAGCAAAAGTTTAAAGAAGATGTGCGAGAAAAGTTTTTCATGCAGAGAGTGGTAGGAGCCTGAAATGCACTGCCAGAGGAGGTGGTGGAAGCAGGCACGTTGGCAATACTTAAGAGGCATCTGGATGGTTACATGAATAGGGAGAGAATGGAGGGATATAGAACAAATAAGGGCTGAAGGTTTTTCTTTTGTTTAGTCAGGGCATGATGATCGGCACAGGCTTGGAGGGCCGAAGGGCATGCTCTGTGCTGTACTGTTCTATGTTCTATGTTCTATGTTCCTGTACCATACTTCTCTTTTATTCTTTTGTACAGAAGAGGAGCTGCTGGAGGTCTTAAAATGTCTAAAGGTAGATAAATTGCAGGGACCTGATCAATCATATACCAGCACATTGTGGGAAGCCAGGGAAGACATTGCAGGGCCACTAGCAGTGACACTTGTATCATTGACAGCCATGGGTGAGGAGTCGGAGAACTGGAAGGTGGCTAATGTTATGCCGTCATTTAAGAAAGGCTGGAAAGAAAAGCCAGGAAACTATAGACTGTTGAGTCAGTGGTGGGTAAGTTTTTGGAGGGGATTCTGAGAGACAGGATCTACATACATTTGGAAAGGCAAGGACTGATAGGATTTAGTCTGCATGACTTTGTGTGTGGGAAATCGTGTCTCACAAATTTGGTTGAGTTATTTCAAGCGGTGACCAAAAATATAGATGAAGGCAGAGTGGTAGACGTTGTTTGCATGGACTTTAGCAAGGCCTTTGAAAAGGTTCTGCACAGGAGACTGGTTAGTAAAGAGAGATCACGTGAAATCCAGGGGGAGTTAGCCAATTAGGTCCAAAACTGGTTTAACGATAGGAGGCAGAGGGTGGTGGTAGAGGATTGTTTATCAGACCGGAGACCTGTGACCAGCGGTGTGTTTCAAGAATTGGTGGTGGGTCCACAGGTGTTTGTCTTATATATAAACTTTTTGAATGAGAATATAGGAAGCATGGCTCATAAGTTTGCAGATGACACCGAAGTGGACAGTGAAGAAGGTTATCTCAGAGCACAACGGGATCTTGATCAGCTGGGCCAGTGGGCCAGTGGGCCAAGGTGTGGCACATGGAGTTTAATTTAGATAAATGCGAGGTGATGCATTTTGAAAAGGCAAACCAGGGCAGGACTTACACAGATGATGGCAGTGTCTTGGGGAGTGATTGATTTATTCTTTGGTTGAGTTATTGTTGTCACATGCAGTTTGGGAGACCAAATGGGGAGGCGATAACCTAGTAGTATGATCGTTGGACTGTTAATCCAGAGATCCAGATAATGTTCTGCGGACCTGGGTTCAAATCCCAATACAGCAGGTGGTGGAATTTGACTTCATTAAATATCTGGAATCAAAAATCTAATGATGACTGTGAATACATTGCCAATTGTCAGAGGAAAAACCCATCTGGTTCATTAATGGCCTTTAGGGAAGGAAACTGCCATTCTTACCTGGTCTGACCTACATGTGACTCCAGACCCACAGCAATGTGGTTGACTCTGAACTGCCCTCTGGGCAATTAGGGATGGTCAATAAATGCTGCCTGGTCAGCGATGCCCTCATCCTGCGAATGAATAAAAAGAAATGTTCATAAGAAATATGAGATAGGGGCACGAGATACTTTGGCTGAGAAGATTAGGATGAATCCAAAGAGATTCCTTAAGTATATTAAAGGAAAAAGAATAACGAGAGAGAGAATAGGACCCCTCAAGGACCAAAGTGGACATGTATGTGGATCTGCAGGACATGGGCGAGGTCCTCAATGAATATTTCTCCTCTATGTTTACTGTGAAGAAAGACATGAAGTCTTCAGAACTTGGGGAAGTTAGTGGTGACTTCTTTGGGGCATTCCATATCACAGTAGTAGGAGGTGTTGCAGTATTAGAATATATGAAGTTGGATAAATCTCCTGGTCCTTATCATATGTATCCAAGAACCCTGCAAGAGGCTAGGGAAGAAATTGCGGGGGCCTTGGCTGATATATTTGCATCATCGTTAGCCACAGGTGAGGTCCCGGAAGACTGGAGGGGAGGGAATGTTGTGCCATTACTCAAGAAGGGCTGCAAAGAAAAGCCTGGGAATTATAGACGAGTAAGCTTAACATCTGTGCGAGGTAAGTTACATGAGAAGATTCTGAGGAATAAGATATACATGCATTTGGAAAGACAGGGTTTGATTAGGAGTAGTCAGCATGGCTTCATGCGTGGGAGATCATGCTTTATGAATTTGTTAGAGTTCTTTGATGAAGTGACAAGGAAGGTTGATGAGGGCAGGGTGGTAGACATAG